AACAACAGAAAATGCTACCGAAGGGGGCATCCGGATTTGAACCGGAGACCTCTTGATCTGCAGTCAAATGCTCTACCACTGAGCTATACCCCCGCCCGTTCACCTCAGTGGCTAGCTACAGGTTTTAACGGTTACAGTCACGGATCGGATTGACAACTTATTTACTTGTTAATATATGTAGTGTCAACAACAAAGTTCACTTGGTAAGTAAATATGTATTATTTTATTTTGATATGGAATTTTAAACAGAGAGCTAAACAAACAGTTAAGCTAGTACCTAGCCGGCTAGCTATCTGGCTTATTTTAAACGCTAGCTAAGGAGCTAGCTATTCCAGCGTTAAGAAACCAGGACTGCATCTACTCAGTTTTAATTCAAAATCTAAAATTCCCAAAAAGAGACTACGTTATGTACAACGGAGTGTAAGATTTTTGAATCTGTTTTAAATAAACTGATTTAATGGCAGACATCGAAGCCAGCTTGAAGGGGATTTGTTTGAAAATAATACAATTTCAGCGTGAATTTTATTTTAGACAGACTGTTGAATCTTTAAGATGCAATATGTAATCTGTCCATCCATGCAGCTATTTTCTTCCACTTAACAGCAGGTTGCAGAGTTAACAAGTCCAAAAGGAAAGCCAACACCCAGAAAATTCATCACAGTCAAAGTAAAAGTTGCAGTTGGCTTTAGAAAGCAGAGTAAAACCTAAGTACCTGCTTTTCAGCAATGTCAAAACTGTAAGAAATCATATGAAGTCTGCTTATTTCGCATTGGGTTTAAAGTGGAGAAACCCTCACTGCATTCAGGTGTAAGTTGCCTGATAAAATTACGTCAGTAAGTAAGGGAATCAGTTGGCATTACAATAAAAGAGCCTGAAGCTGACAAGTCCAAATAATCTCTTCATTATAGATTTTTTTGAGACTTTGTTTGCTATACTTGATGCAGACCAGCGCTTCAACTGAGACTGCAAACATCACTGACATCTTGTGGCTTAAACTGTAACTGCTGCTTTAATGTGTCACAAATAATCCATTTCTATTATCATCACTGGAGCCATATCGTCCTGTGTTAAGTTGCACTCCTCATGGTGCATCTTCGCAGCAAAGCATGAATAGCACGTGTATTGTGGAGTGTATCTAAAAATGCTTTTAGTTTGGTTCTCTTTTTATGACCCGACAGACAGATCAATTGTAAAATATAAGCATTGCTTATGCTGATCCGTGAATCTTCTTAAATCTGATTGAGATGCTGTGCATGGATGGCCTCATTAAACAGGCCACATGTGCTCAAAACCTCTCCAATGTGACAAAACTCTCCAGGGAAGTTCTGGTCAAAATTCCTTCAAAATAATGCAAAAGACTCCTTGTTAGTTGTCTGAGTAAGCCGCTGTGGTTGTAAAGATTGCTTTTAGTCACTTTCCAGAGCAGAACAGAAGACACTTTAGACATTTATGAGATAATAAAATGAAACAGGGAGACTTGAGTTGGAGTTAGAAAACATGAGCAATGTTTTTGATATAACAGGGGATATGCAATGTCATATTTAGCACTGATTATAAACTAGGGTTGGCTGGTCTTATAAACTTCACGCTCAATAGATGTCAGATTTATTACTGGATTCACAGCTGGTTTGGAAAGAGTGAGGAATTATACAGCAGCTTGTCACGTTTGTAATTTTATTACTCTAAAAGTCGCAGTGGTCCAAGGCAGCAAAAACATCCCCATGATTCTGAAACAAAAAAAAGGGAAGAAGCACCTTTCATGACGTTGATTAACATTTATTTTTTTTGTTGAATGGGTTTATTACAGTCATCTCTGCTGCATCCCAAAAACATCACTGAGGAGGAGAGAAAGGGGTGTCGTTAGTAGAGTCAGAAGCACGTGAGATTCAGAGGGACGGATGAGACAGCGGCGGGTGGAAGCAGGCTGAAATTTGTTTTTGCAGAGAAAAGAAAGGAGTGGAGGCAGCATTTTTGTGTTTTTGCAGAGTGTAACATGTGGTTCGGTTGGGTGATGCTGTTTTTCTGTCTCTCCCAAACAGAACCGGCCAACGTTTGGGATCAACAGCAGACAGGTGAGTTGTGAATAGTTTTACCGTATACTCACTCACGTCCTATTTAGTTTAATGCACTTAGTTTATTTCTAAAATTTTTACAACGGAAATTAATTCAGATTAGTATGTAAATACATGAGATCATGGCCAGATGGCTAATTTTCAGGTTGGTGTCAAAGACTTGAAAAAATAATAAGAACAAAAACAATATAGGCAGATGCAATTCTTCTTATAATGTAATGTTATTTATGTTTCAGTATAGAAATTCAAAATATTGTAAACCATAGCTTTATCTCATCAGTTCTCAATTTAAGTGTAAGTAAGCATCTCTGGTGAAAGTGTTTTCTATTTAAACACGCTCCAAACCACAAAACTTCAGTAGGAATCTTTATGAAGGAACAAGTGGGCATACCATGACTTTTTCTGTTTTACACACAAAAGTGAATGAACAAGTTCACAATAAAGGGCACTATATAAAAAAAAATCTTTCCCACAAGCATGCAACTGAGACTAAGCAACAACCCACAAGCAGTCTGTTGCAAGTTTAAAATAAGATTTGGACCTGTTTTTCTTCTTGCCACTTTGCTGCAGTCTGGCAGAAGAGAAAAATGGCTCATTTGGTGCTCTTCTTGATCTTGATCAAAATATCTTGTTTTGTGTAAAAGTTGGGAAACAGAGAGAAGATAAATCTTTTTTTTCCCTCTCGTGCTTTAATTAAATTAGTGATTTCAGATAAGAAAAAGCTGTCTGTGATGAGGGCAAAGTGTTGTAGACAGAATTAAGGTGACATGCTTTGTTATTAAAGCTGCAGTACAAGACTTTTATGAAAAATAACTATATGTGTTTTATGTATTTGTTAAATCTATCACCATGTTGAAACTGTATAATATGAGAGATAGTCTGTGGTAAAATCAAGCTCCTCCACTTCCTCCCTGTGCTGCTATTGCTGTGTAAAGAAATGGTCAGAAACAACCAATCAGAGCAAGGAGGAGCGTCTCAGTGCTGTCAATCATCCTCATGAATACGCTAATGGTGAAGAAACAACTTACCGTTACAGGAAAACTAGACTTAACATTCGTGACAAACTCTGTGGACGGGGAGATCTGTATCATAGCAGGGAACAAGTGGCATGCACACAAGCTTGATTGACAGCACTAAGACCCTCCTCCTGGCTCTGATTGGTTGTTTTTAGTTAGCACTGGGAGAAGGCAGAGGAGGTTGGGGGTTTTTCCACAGTTTATCTGACTCACACCATACTGTCATGACATACTGTCAGTTTCAACACATATCTAAAAAAAATATAGTTTATAAAAGTTACATGCTGCAGCTGTAAGGCAATGAGACAAATTATGCCTGAGATCATGACACTTCCTCTGCATCAGGAAATCTGTTGAAAATGAAAATAGTTTGCAGGTGGTCCTTGAGACATTAGAGGTCAGATGTTAACAGTGACCCGATCAAATTCCACGTTTGTCTTTATTTCTTTCCTGTCTCCTTGTGCCATTCAATTTTATAGAGTTTTGTTTTGTAAAAACAACGTTGGTCCCAAGAGAGTCGTTGACGCAAACTTGACCGGACTGTAAAAACAAGTAGAGCCAAGCTAAAAAATAAATTATGCACCCCATTATGACCTCAGTTTTTTGGCCTCTTGTCTCTTGTCCTGCTCGTAAGTTAGCTAAACAAGAAGTTTGAAAGTGATCCAAACATTTTAGAACGAGGCTGTAATCAAAAATAGAGGGATTTTAGAAATCAAAACTCATGATATTGTTATTGTCTTTCATTCCAATATCTGAGCTTCTTTAATTGGTTTTATCCAGCATGACCTGTTATGGGAAACATAGATGCGATTTGGCGGGAAGAGATAAGGGCGAAAACAGTGAAATATATCTGAGAATTTGAAACAGTGTTTGTTTGAGAAATGGTTTTGAGCTGAACACTCTGAACTCATCCGTTTCTCTAATTGGACAATGAAAAGCAGACTAGGCTGTCTTCTCCATGCCGAGCACTGGATAGAGATAAGTGAGAATATCACTTGTTTCTTCCTTGAGAAGATTTGTCTAAATAAGAAGACTGTGATGAATGTTATTTGGCTCTTTTCAAGATTAATTGGTGTCATTTATCAAATGAGTCTCCTTAAAAGTCATTAAAATGTGGTCATTTTTGCTGTGGCATGTCAGCAGATTGGAGGCTGTCCAAAAATTAACACAGAGGGCAGCAGCCGCAGCACTGTCTTCAAGATTTAATCGGAGTAGAAAGGTTTAGTAAAGCTGTACTCCAACTGCAGCCAAAGATGTGAGAAAAAAAGTGACATAATTTAGGCGAAAACTATTTTGGTGGAAAGCAATTTAAGAAATGTGGAAATGCAATTCTGCAGAAGTCGTTGGAAAGAACTGTAGATGTTTATTGTGGCTGGATGTTTGGGACTTGATGCCAACTCCTCCGGCCTCCGCTCAGGAAGGGTGTGTCCTCTCTGACCACGCACAGAAACAGGCAGCTAAACGTTGAGGTTTGCTAGCTCCTAAAAGAACAGACAAGGGTCAGTTTTCAGGCCAAAGCATATGGTTTTTTATTGCTTTAAATGAGTCCTTCTTTTTTTTTAAACTCACTGGACTTTTCCACAAGCTTGTGATCCTACACCTCAACATTTTTAAAGAAATATTGTAGTTCAAACCTCACTTATAATCTTTAACAACTGCATGTGTTTACCAAAAGATATTATTTTTGAAAAGATTTAGTACATTCAAACTCTCTACAAATTGCATTGTTGAGTAAATATCTCAATTTTTCTCAAAGGTTTCTGGGTGGAAATTGTTTTCAAAATCAATAATTGTTAGTGCAAGTTTGAATTTATGATAGATTCGTTCTAAATCAGTTCCAAAATACTTTATTATTCCAAAGGGAAATTAAATGTTGGTGTGAGTCATATTCTTCAAAGAGTGGTTGGGTGCTGATGGCTGTCTGACTGAAGACTCTCTATTATAAAAACAATAGTATATCATTGTTTATCCGTAATGTTCCTCATTTTATGAAAAATGAGGAACATTTTTTGCACAATCACCTCCAGAAGTTTGCCAGAACAGAACCAACCATTTTTATCAGTTCAGAATTATGCAAACCAATTGATGGAAAATTATTTCACCATAGCTTTATAGTGCATGGTTCAATTAAATCAACAAAGGCCCAAGATTTATGATGCTCTTGCAAATGAAGAGGTGTCTAAACTCCCCTTAGGTAAATAAAATAATTATGAATATATACAAACACAGAAATCACAAAGCCTGTTATCAGCATATATGTAGTCGCTTCACCTAATATATTGTGCAGGGAAAATAAAGTGTCACCAGCTGATTAATAACACATATAATATTTATGCCTGAAATACCAGGAACATGTCTACAATCATTGATGAGTTAGTCATCACCTTTATTGAAAATGTGTTCATGAAAATCTTTAATTTTATCTCATTCCATTAAAAAAAAAAAAAAAATTGTGTTCTCTAAATTAGACCCAATTCCTGTACTTTCCCCTAAAAGAAGAACAGATGTTCAGATTGAATCTTGCCACTGACTCACCACATTGGTATTTTGTTGCTTTATCCCAATGGCTGTGATTTTCTAAGTGTCGATGAGATGTTGACATTAAAGTGAGCTTTTCAAAGCTAAAAAACAAGCACCTAATTCACAAAAAACTTTAAATATTTTATTTTGCATTAGGCATTAGCAATACGTTTCAATTTGTTGTTAATATCTTAAATATTGAAGTTCAAATTCTGTGTTAAAGCCAATCTGCAGCAAGAGGAAAGATGTGTGCCATAAATAATTCCTCTGGGAAAGCTAGTACAAAGAGAAAGTTTTCCAAAGTTTCCAAAATTCATGCCTCTAAATTTGACAAAAGCTGCATTGTAACTGAAACAGATGAGCCATAAGAATTTATTTGCCCCCCATTATGATGAGACGTCATTGTTCCTTTTACCAAAAAGACGCCACACAGGGGTGGATCCACTGTTCAACAATCACACGTCTAGATTTACTGTGATATAATTGGCAGCCACAAAGGATCTGACACACAACACAGGGTGGAGAACATACTCTAACAGAGAGCTAAGTCAATAAATATGGTCTTAATCTAATTAAGAAGTACCTCTGAGTGAGGGTGATAGGTGTTTGCATGCATAGCAACCGGTCAGAGAGGAACAGGTCTGGACATGCCCCATTGTGGAAAAATTCATTTAGCAGCCAAAAAGCTACCGATCCATGTTTAGAGAAATTCATTTAAATTACTTCCAGATAAAAGTAGATTGTTGCTAAACTGAGATAAGAGTGAATTTCTCAGGCACTTATCTCCATAATTTGATCCATAAGTAAAAAGAGGGTGTGGGAGTTGTGTCTGCACACAATGGCTAAAGTGGAGTAAAAGTCATGTTTTCTAACACACCTGAATCAAAATACATTTCTCATTACCATGCCTCTGTAGAGTTGCATAACATGCTGAGTTGGTAATTTAGTCATTTAATTTCATTTAATCCCTGGATCAGGGATGAGTCTGAAGGTTGCCTGAAACTCTCATTTTATGTTATTCCCAGTTGCTACACCAACTGTCCGTGAAACCAGTTCTTTCAAAAATGTTTGCAGAAGTCTGCATATACAGGTGCCAGATTTAACACAACTATGGCCACAAGTTGAAATCAATTATTTGAATAGGTAAGTCAACACTTTGGCAGTACTATCCACATTAAACTTGGCACTTCTGTTTTTATGCCTTTTTGT